TTCTACCGTCCAAAGGTATCGAATTTCACTTAGCCTTCCCTCCAAAAAGACCAGTTCCTCCAGAATCCACTTCGCCTTCAACCTCGCCCCATTATCTCTCATCAATGCCTCCAATGGAATTTGATCATGGAATATGAGTATCATGATGACGGTACCACTAAACTACATAGCCACATGGACCATTGAGTCAAACAGCAGATGTGGCATTCAAGACAGACAAGGCCTTTCCCAAATCACATTGCTGATTTGTCAAACAGGTATTTTTCATTGAATATATCAATTCAATGGTCAATGCTGGAACTTGTCATGAATGCAACTGCAGAGGAGCAAGGATGAGATACGTTCCACAAGATCTACCTGTCGCTCCGACCAAGTTGTTAAAACGAGGTCAAACCAACACTGTGCAACAGCTAAAGGAGACTGCGACCAAGCCACACCATCTTGGTCTTCATATTTACGATATTGTTACTTATCTTAGCAAAATGAATAGGCTTCGAGACGATCAGCTAATATTTAATAATAACTAATAAATTGAAGATGTGAAGACCAAGATGTTGTGCCCTCGGGTATGGTCGCAGTATCCTTTCGACTTATAGAAGTGGGTAGACCTCGCTGTCGCAACTTGGTATTGTGTTCAGGAAGTCGTCTGTCATAGTAGTTGTCTTGATTTCTAGCATCCGAGAATATATCAAGTCCACTGTCAGATGCTGGGAATCAAGACAACTACTATGGCAGACGACTTCGGACTCGGTGCGTTGCATAGTTTCCCTGAGCACAAGACCAAGTTGCGACAACGAGGTCAACCCACTTCAATAACTAATAAACTTTGGAGCGCTTAAAATGATTTAGGGACTAAAAGTTACGTTTTCCTACAATCAGGTGATTGGGCCTTAGGATGCCATTGAATTTTGCTTATCAAGACTCACTCCGTAAACCATCTCAACTGACTTAAGGTGACTAACTTCATATTACTCTTATTCAAGAAACGAATATAAATTGAGGGGACAACATTATCCTTCAATTTCAGCGTCAAGTACTCCAAAATGTCATTCAATCTAGACCAGC